GATCACTATTTTATTTTCTAATAAATAGAATTTTTAACGATATTAATTTTTTGAAGGTCCACTCTCAAATTGAATAAGTTAAATGAGTGAACATTAGTTTGTTTTTTGTAAAAATTATAATATTGGTTTTAATTAGGATCATATTTTTCTGCTTTTTATTGATAATGTTTGACTAATTAGGTTGAAAATAATCTGACGAAAATTAAATCACACTAACCTGTAACACGGAAATCCCTGAGACATATGTAAATCCATAGGAATAGTAGCATGAGCTGCACTATGGGTTGTAGCAAGACTATAGTCAGCTGTACCAGTCAAAGACGGTTGCATCATGCTAGCAGCTGCCACCGCGTGGTGTCCTGCGATCATAGCACCCCAATGAAAACTCGCGGGAGCCGTTGGAATAGTCGATGGAGGCTCAAGCTCAAGGCCACGTCCGGCGGTGGTCCCTGGACCACCGCCACCACCGATCCCACCACCTCTGTGCATCAATCACTTCACTACCACAAGGTATTCATAAATTTCCAACGTAATCCTAAAAACTAATTGTACACTTCTCTCACTTTCTACAAATTGTATAAACACTATGTACTATTTCAAATAACACTTTTTTCATTTATTTAACTCACTGTCCAGGTCAAAATCCACAAATTTTGCACTTTTTGCTAGTTTATAACTTTTTCACCATCACCTAGGTATTCGAAACGGTTTCATCGCGACGGATGCGACCACGATCCGAGATGACTGAAATGGATGGCAAAACACAAACCTTGTATGATCTTTAGATTTTCGGGTAGAAGTCTGGAAGGGCAATAGACAAAAGTGGGGAGTATAACGGAAGGCTGGTCTCCAGAGAATATTGGAAGAAAATTCAAGAGTAGGGTTGAGAGGTTGATACTCTATCTGTCAACATCGTGGCAAGAACCTGTAGAAGGCGGAGCTTCTAGTTTCGAAGTGTTCACGTGGCTGGAATGGAAGAACGAGAAAAATGAGTATCACCTCTCAGCATCATGACCGCCTACTGAGGACGGCCTCTCTTTTGGTCCAGGAGGGATGGAAATAAACTTGGAGTTGAGAGTATGATGACATATGTTGAATGAATCTACACTATAAAAAACTATTTGATTACTATTTTTGCATTTTGAACCAGTACATAGTTTTATGAACATATAATTCACAACATCATACAATTTTCTAGAAATTGTCAGAATTTGTCAGTAACATTTTTTTTGTGTTCTAATTGATAAACGTGATTTTCATTGGAAGGTATTTTTAGTAGATTTCATAAAAATCTAACTATTGTATTTGTCCTCCCCGAGAAAAAATATTTATATATAATTATATATATTTATATATAAATTGGTTATATATGATTATATATGAAAATGGCCAAATATAATCATATCTAATTATATATAACTATGTATAATTATATATAACAATATATAATTATATATAACAATATTTAATTATAGATTTATTACATCTAATTAATTATTGGGTTAATTTTATGGATAGAGTATTTAATATAGTCCTACGCAATTCTGTGTAACCGATCAAAATGCAGAAAAAATATTTAGATCTAATTTTATGGCTATAACACCAGCGGTCACCCATCCAACTATTAACCCTGCTCAATGCTGCTTAACTTTGGTGATCTTCGTGCGTCTTGAAGTTTCTGTCTGCTGTGCTGCTATCTTAGACAATAATGATTCTATGATCTACTTAATGCATCATATGAGTTTATCTTAAATATAATATAAAAATTGATTTTATAATATATATTTGGATAGTCATAATTCATAATTTATTTATCTTACCGAATTTAATTATAATATAACACTTATTTGAATAATAAAATAAATAATGATTTTACTATTACGTAATAGTAGCAGAGCGTGTCTATAGACACACTTAATTTTTTTTCTGTAAAAGTAGGGGAACGATTGGTATGATGTTAACAATAGTTTTTCTGAGTAATATAAAAGTGAATACAGTTGTGCAGGAGAGAAATAAAAACATTCTTGACATGAGAAACAACTTTGCCATGAAAAAAAAAAAAAATTTTTTTTTTTCATCATTTTTTGGAGGTGGGCCATCTTGCCCCAAAAAAAATTTTTTTTGGAACTTTGGAAAAATTCCGGTGAATTGAGTCAAAGTTGGACGAGAGTAAATCCACTTGATAGTAGAAAGCCACAAAAAATAAAAA